GGAGGAAGTGGGAGGGGAGCTGTTGCATTGGGGCAAATTGTAGTCAATGTCATGAAACAAAGTGTATGTGAAGTGTTTTATGGAAAGTTAATTTTCTCTGTAAATTTTCACTCAAATCACAGTAAGAAAAAAAATAGGACCAGCATAAATATTCAGCAAATACTAAAACAGTAGGAACAAAGGAAGTAATAACACAATTCACAAACAAAACAAACTCAGCACAGAAAATTATATGGAACAAAAAATTGATACCACAGAAAAGCACATAACAAAATTGACAGCAACAAATTCATATTTGCCGGTCATTACATATCTGTCAAGGAACTTATCTCTAAGATTTATAGCAGAAGAGTGGATGACCAAACTAAGGTACATACACATACTGGAATGCTATGTAGCACTGAAGAAAAACGTAGAGCCTGCAAAACACCGCATAACATGGATGAACTTGGAGGACATTATGCTGAGTGAAATAAGTCAATCACAGAAGGACAAATAGAGTATTAGTTCTTTGTTGTGGAGGGTCAAAGAAAGGTTTATGTATGGAGGGAAACTTTCTTTGTTGGTTGCCAGAGGTGGGAGGGGAGGGGCGGGAACACTGCAAAAAAAAAAAAAATGCGTTGACCCTTTTTAGTTTTGTGTATTTCACCGTACATAAATTATATTTCAATAAAATGCATTGAAATTTTTTTTAAAAAGAGCATATGTTCGAAGCAGACATTTTTTGCTCAATATTTTTCTATCTTTATTTTTTTAATATATTCCTAAAGTAGTAGAAATAAAAATAGAAAAATCAACTTGGCATTAATGAGTTTTATGAAAAAATACTGTGGATGCTTATTGTGACATAAATGTTCTGAATCTTGACTATATCAATGTCAGTATCCTGGTTGTGTTATTGTACTATGGTTTTATGAGACATTACCATTGGGGGAAACTAGGTCATGGGTACACAGGATCACTCTATTGTAATTTCTTACAACTACATGTGACTCTACAATTATCTTAAAATAAAATGTTTATGCTGTAAGAATGTCTGGATATACAGCAGAGCTGACAAGGGACAAGGTTGTGATGACTTCTTGGCCACAGCCAGCTACCTGGACGGAGGGAATAGTTGGACCTGTGGGTTCAGGACCATGGTCGCAGGGGACATCAAGCTCCTTGGCATAACATACTGCACAAGAACATTGTTCCTTTGCTACTTTGGTGATTACCAACTGGGATCTTAAAAGCTTGCAAGCAACATACAGTACTGCATTGTCAGTGAAGACAAACATTGATGGATATATGGGTGGACAGACTGAACTATTGGGTATGTCCATGCAGGGGGGGAGTGTGCCCAAGACCATGTATAGGGTTAGCAGACAATTTTTCTACAAGTGTATTTGTATGTTCTATAAGAATTCCCAGGAATATAGTGGAGCTGACTAGGGGCAAGGTTGTAGTCACTTGTTGGCCACAGCCAGCTACCCATAGGGAATGAGTAGTTGGAACTGTGGGCTTGGGACCATAGTCGCCAGGGACATCAAGCTCAATTGGCATAACACTACACAAAAGCATTGTTCCACATCCTATTTTGGCGAGTAGTGACTGGGATCTTAAAAGCCTGCAAGTGGCCATCTAGATGCAGTGAGTCTCTCCTCATCCAGAGCAAAGAAGAATGAAGAAAACCAAACACACATGGAAACAATTAGTCCAAGCGACTGGTACACTATGCGATCCTCAGCCTCTATGACTATGAGACCGGATGACCTAGATAGTGCCCGGCTACCACTATCAACCACTCAGAGGGGGATCTGTGTAGGAGATCCTGGATAGAGTGGGAGAACAATGTGGAACAAAAAAATCATTAAAAAAAAAAAAGGGCCAGGTTTGCTGGTCTTGATAGATCCTGATAGAACCACTGAGACTATGGCCCCTAGCTGCTCTTTAGGTCTGGAATTGAACCCACTCCTATGGCCAGCCAAACAAAAGACAGGCATATGAGCTGAACATTTATAATAGGTAGATACACTCCTTGGAGAGATCAATTATGGAAGAATAGAAGGGCTGTGTATGCACAGGGAGACAGCTCAGGGGCAGGAGTGCATGGGAGGAAAGGACACAGGGAAGAGGTGGCTAAGGGGAGGAAGTGGGAGGGGAGCTGTTGAATTGTGAGAGATTGCAGTCCATGTCTCGAGACAAAGTATATGTGAGCTGCTGTATGGAAAGTGAATTTGCTCTGTAAACTTTCACCCAAATCACAGTAAAAATTAAAAAAAAAAAAAAAAGCTTGCAAGTGCCCACCTGGATGCCATGATGGGTCTCTCCTAGCTCAGAGCAAAGAAGAATAAAGAAAAACAAAGACAAGTGGAAACAATTAGTCCAAGAGACTGGTAGACCATGCTATCCTCAGCCTATATGATGATGAGACCAGAAGAACTAGATGGTGTCCAGCTACCACTCAACCACTTGGAGGGGGATCTATGTAGGAGATCCTGGATAGAGTGAGAAAGCAATGTGGAACAAAACTCAAAATCATTTAAGAAAACAGAAAAAGACCAGGTTTATTGGTCTGATAGAGCCTGGTGAAACCCCTGAGACTATGGCCCCTAACTCCCCTTTGGATCTGAAATTGAACTCACTCCTGTGGCTTCCAGCCAAATAATAGACAGGCATGTAGGCTGAACATCTGCATCAGATAGATACACTCCTTGGAGAGATCAATCAATGGGAGAACAGAAGGGCAGTGTTTGCACAGAGAGACTGCTTGGGGCTGGGGGCAGGAGTGCGTGGGAGAGAAGAATGTCATGAGACAAAATGTATGTGAACTGATGTATGGAAAATGAATTTGCTCTGTAAACTTTCACCCAAATCACAATACAAATTTTAAAAATAAATAAAATGTTTAATTAAAGAAGATCAGAAAACAATATTTTAATAGTGCTAGGAAAATTGAAATAGAAAAACAAGTATGACTGTTGTTTCTTCCTTTTTGTTATATAGGTGTATATGATATAGTGAATAATCTTGGCTCCCTTGTGGCCAGATTGATATTCCAGCCAATAGAAGAGAGTTTTTACATTTTCTTTGCTAAGGTGCTGGAGAGGGAAAAGGGCGCCACGCTTCAGAAGCAGGTAGTCTTGGTTCTTATGTCTTTGTCCCTCAATTGAATTCTTCCTCTCATTGTAAGATAAACAGACAGAAATGTGGAGGAGTCTGTTTACCCTCTGTTTGAGCTGAAATTTTCTTTTGTTTCATTTTGAATGGTGGCAGGACCCTGAGCTCACTTCTTGTGTGACTTTCTCTTTTTTCCCTGGCTGGTCCTTCCTCCTCATCATTTTGTCCTTCTTTGTGACCATATTCTTGACCCAGCCCTCAGAACATCTCCCTTGGGCAGCTTGGTTCTATGGCTGTTCCTTGTGCATTGCAGACACCTTTCTGTGGTCTAGTCTTAGGTGTAAGAATAAAGTTGCCTCCCTACATCCTCGGATTCTCAATAACCCTCAGGGTGAGCCTACAGTGGAGAAAGGCTAACCTAGGGTAAAGAAGGAAAAGACATGGTCATGTGGTTTCATCACTATATAAATTGTTGAAACATCTTTGGGACTCTGAGATCCCAGGGTTACATTCTGACTTTGAGAATCTGCAGACTGTGGTTGGTAAACACACAGGAAAAGACTTGGATCCAGGAGCGTTTGGTTGTGGAAACTTCACTTTTTGTAAAGCCATTGAAAATGTCTGACATCTTAGAATTAAAAGCAAGCTGGGCTGGCCTCTTATAAGACTTAGAAGACATTTTGCAAAATACAGCTTATGCACAGTATCTCAAAATGAGCTAGACTGGCTCTCAGTCTGATTTATAAATACTTTCCTAAGCATGCACTGATAGTAACATCAGAATGTGGAGACATTTGTCAGAAGCACTCTGACAGAGCTAGCTGATATTAAAACTTGCTGCTCAGTTAAAAATAAATATCAGGGAAAAGTGAGGTCTCCTAAGCAACATTTGAAATAATTTTTCCTAAATGAGTTAAAAAAAAAAAAAAAAAGCCTTCCCCTCACTACCTACAGAGGCACACATGATCTTTTTCCTTCATTTGATCATAGATGTAGAAACAAACAGGCTACAGGAAAGCAGGGGTACCTCTCACACAATTGAAAGAGTGATCTGCAAAACAGCAAAGGGAGAAGGAAGTTTTCTTTTAGCTCATGATTCATCCAATTTCCTTCCTTCTTCCCCTGGCCCCAGGAGGACATTGCTGTGGCCGCTGTGGTTTTGGAGTCCCTACTCAAACTGGCTCTGCTGGCTGGCCTGACTATCACTGTGTTTGGCTTTGCCTATTCTCAGTTGGTTTTGGATGTCTATGGAGGAGCCATGCTGAGCTCAGGATCAGGTATGCACAAGAGTTTTTGACAGATTTGTTCTAAATTCCAAACAGAAACAAAAGAGTCTTATGAAATTTAGAAACTTCTGCACGTACAAGTTGAGATCTGTGTCAGTGGAGAGAAAATGGCCAGGTGGCCAGGGCGGTGGGACTGTTCCCCTTACACAAGGTCAGACACATACATGCTCGAGGTGTGGGCAGGGGCTTTTGCACGAAGCCAGGCAATTTCTCAACCTCACTTGGATCTCCGCCCTGCCGTTGTTTTTTTCCTCTGGACTAAAATGAGTTTTGCCTTTTGACCATTTCCCTGTGCTCCCTCTGGATGAGGGAGGAAAGCAGAGAGCAGGTGCTAATGAGTCTCCACTTGGTACTAAACACATCTGAAGACAGTAAATGCCACATAAATCTCACAGCTTGATGTATAAAAGCCTCTGAAGAATAACCCAGAGACATTTGCAGAGAACAAAATTGATCTGGCAAATAAAATGGTATGTTTAATCTAGTGACTCTTGGTTTTGAAAGAGGAAAGTATATGAATGTGTCTAACTTTGAAACACTTGATGCCCAGACCACTGAGAATCTCTCCTTGCCTCTTGGCTCAGAATCTAGGCTTTGGGGTCATTACAAATTTTAAATTGCCCTAGGCCATAGGCTGGCAGTGTTTCACCTTGAGTTCAGTAAAAATCTTTTTAAATTCTTAGGTCAGAATAAGAACCCTGAAGACTGTTTCTACTGCTCCATGTCAATGTAAAGGTCTCTGTCAAATGCCGTTTTACAAATTCATTGGCATGTTTCATCTTCACTATAATGAGAACCAAACTTTTGGTATTATGGGGAGAAGGCCAAGTGCCTGCAATAATGCAAAGTTCATTAACTTTGGAGAAACATCTACTGTGAAAACAATAGCATGGTTTGCAGCTCCCTGGGCCTTGCTATAAGGAACACTGGTAGCATGTGTAGTGGTTAAAGCACTTGGCTGCTAACCAAAAGGTCAGTGGTTCAAACCCACAAGCTGTTCCAAAGGAGAAAGATGTGGCAGTCCATTTCCACAAAGATTTACAGCCTTGGAAACCCTGTTGGGACAGTTCTTTTCTATCCTGTGGGGTCACAAGGAGCCAGATTCAATGACAATTGGTTTGATTTTGGCTTTGGGGCTTGTAGTGAGAAGTATATTTGGATCAGGAACTGCAAGAAGACCTCTTTAAGAAGCCATTAGTAAGTTTATGTTCAGAGATTAGAGACTCAACTATTTCATAGAAGCTCTGCCCCTCTAAAAAGGCAATCACCAAGGAACAACTTTTAATGTAATGTGATCATAGGATGTTATCTGAGGAGAGGGCTTTCCCATCATTATAATGTTCACCTGGTAGAGTAATCACAGAAGAGCAATAAATAAATTGTGTAATGTTAGGTACATGAGCTGCTGGTGCAAGTTTTGAGTTTTGATAATAAATTTATCGATTGAAAGAGTCACTGTTAGTTGAGTTCTAAGGTAATATGTTCTGTCCATAGTGGTTTAGTGTCAGAGTTGTTAATTTTAGACTCAAAATGATGCTCTTCCAGTCTCATCTTTAGAGAAAGAGCAGAGTCTTGAGAATGATTCTGGTTTCTCAGTGTCTTAAAAAATTGTGTACTTGGTGTGTCACTTCAGGGTCTGCTGTCATCTCTTGCCTGAACCAGAGTCCCATCAGGCTCACTGTCCTCCTCAATAGGGTTGTTTAGCATTTTTATGTTCTCATTGTGGCTGCTTCTCATTTTGTCCAAACTTCTAGCTCTCTTTAAGGCCCATAGTGCTTCTTAGTCAGGTCATTGCCTCTCCCATACATAGTGCCTGCTCGTTTCCTTTCCTGGTGTCCACACTACCCCTCATCTTCTCACCCCACTTCTGACTCTTTGGACTAATGCTGCATATCACTGTGCCTTTCCTGTGTCAGAAAGTATTAACACTGTGACCCCCAACCCCCAGTCTTTTTTGATCACTTAAACACTTCATAGTAATTAACTTTCTCCAGAAAGTTTTCCTGGCTTAATCAGAAAAGAACAACAACTTTCTGTGGCTCAGCCCCACCACCTTAGTTTTGAAAGTGGAACTTACAACACTGCTGTCCTTAGTTTCCCCTCATGCGTGTTTGTCTTTGTCCTCTTGAAGTGAACTTAGCTGTGACCTGTACGGTCCTCTTAGATCCACTGTCCTCTTTGCTGACCCTGTTGTAGATATGAACATAGTGTAGTCAAGCTTTTGTGTTAGAGGTATGATTTTGCTTTGCATTGTTTTGGATTAAAATTATATATAATTAGGGACTTTGAAGTAAGAAAACTTTCTCATAGCCAGATTTCCCTTCTTTAAGAAAAATACAGGCATTCACTGAACTCCCTAAGATTTCTCATATTTATCTTTAGGGTGCTTTGCTCTTGCCCCTTTACTTTATTTTTCAAAACCTTTTATTCTTATGCCCTCATATCCACCACTCATCATCTGTCAGTTTGTCTTATTGTAGTGGCTTGCAGGTTGCTGTGATGCTGAAAGCTATGCCACTGGTATTTCGAATACCAGCAGGGTCACCCATGGTAGACAGGTTTCAGTGGAGCTTCTACACAAAGACAGACTAGGAAGAAGGACATGACCAGGATGACTTCTGAAAAAAAAAAAGAAAAAATTGGCCACTGAAAACCTTAGGAATAGCAGTGAAATGTTGTCTGATAGAGTGTCGGAAGATGAGCCCTTTGGGTTAGAAGATACTCAAAATTGCTCATGATGTGAGAAGAGACAAGGAGAAAGGACACCACGCTTGGTAAAGTAGAAGGTCAGTAAAAAAGGGGGAAGACCCTCAATGAGATGGATTGACACAGTGGCTGCAACAGTGGGCTCAAGGATGGCAATGACTGTGAGGTGGTGCAGGACTGACCAATGTTTCGGTCAGTGGTACATGGGATCACTGAGTCAGAATCGACTGGGCAGCAGCTGACAACAGCAACAGCATCCCCTCAATTCAATCTGTGGCTTAAGAATCCATCCTTAAATTCCCCAGTTTCAACTTCTTTCCTCAAAATTCACTCAAAAACATTCTGCTTGAACCACTGTTTCATGCAAGAGTTTGTTCTTCATGCTTAAAAGAAACTCACTGTCCACCTTCAAGTAGACACACACAAATTTTAGCTCTCAGTTACCAGGTGAGATGTGCAGATGAGGGGTACCCCATCCTTCTCTGCTTCTGCCAAAGAATGAAGGATGGAGAGAAGCTAGATGCATACTGCCCATAGCCTTGAGCCATCCAGGGGCAGCACCTGGTCCTGCCGCTTCTACTGGAGTCTACCTCAGTGGAGAGGGCACCAGGCTGCTTTCTGCAACAGCCTGAGAGACTGAAATGCAACACACTAAAATGCCGATTCCAAGAGAAGACCATGGAAAATGTTATGCATCAGGGCTGCCCTGTTATAATTTTGTGACTAACACAAAGCTATATGGGCTCCCCACAGCACAGGAATCTTTCATATTAAACAGCTTTCATAAATCATCATTCAGAGTCTGGAACTTCAAGCCTCCCTTTTTATAGTGGTTATGTTGTTTTTCTTTGTTGTTGTTAGGTTCCGTTGAGTCTGTTCTGACTCTTAGTGACCCGTGTATGACAGAAGAAAACATTGCCTTTTTTTTTCCTTTATTG